ACTCGAAACCAGAAACTTTTACTAAGCTCACCTTCACTGTTTCGTAGTTGATCAGAGAGTCCACTGCTTTATTACCAGCGTCATTATCAGCTTGATTCATTTCATGACGAAATTTTGTCCGCCACCTGGAAATGGAAATGTAATGATGCAGATCACAGAATGGTGCAATAGCTATAAATAGGGAAGGGAATGGATTGCGAACAACAAGATTTCTTTCGCTGGAACTTCACAGCGAAACTCGCTTTGCGTATCCCTGCTGCTGGACCGGTAGACTGACGGGAGGAGTGATGGGCATACACAACTGTTGACAAAATAGAGCTAGTAAGATAGTAAACCGTTACAATGAGGAGTTAAGTGGAAAGAGTGCAACGCTACAGCAAAAACGCAGTAATGAGGCGGAAGGAACAAACTTCACAGAAGAAGGAAATGGAAGTAAGATAGACCGTCGGAAGGTAATAGAGCGCCGACAGGGAAAAGACGGAGGGAGATCTTGCGGAAATGAAGGCAGGCTCGAAGCTAAGGGAGAAATACGGCGGAATGGGGAGGATGATGCGTTGTGGCGTGGACAGTGGCGTATAGACTCGTAACGCGAAGGTCTTTCAAGTCATGGTGTCCGTTTTTAAGACGGTTTGTGCTGCAGAGGCACATAAAGGGACCATAAAAGTGTATTTCGTTTCGGCTGCATGTCTAACAAAGCCATGAAAGTCGAAAAAGGGGTCTACGAATTTGACGAAGTCGACGATAGGAAGATCTTCTGTTTTTCAAATAAAAGGCCGGGCCAAAGGCCATTTTAGACTTGTTTGCACAGACAAAGTTTCCCGACTGATAAAAGGATAAGGATAAAGTCTTCGCCGTTGATCAATCCCTTTGTGGGATGCGGCACGCATTCTACTTCCATTCAGAATCGTAGTGGCTTATTGAATGCGATGTGGCCTATACAATGACTTGCGGTGGCCAGCCGATGTACAAGTCAGTGTTTTATCCTCCCAGACGAATCTGGTACCAATTTACCGTCCCCACCGTCCCCGGGGGGTAGAAGGCTTGGTTGGCCTGGCGAAAGAGGAAAAAGTGTTAAGAGATACCAAAATTCGCCAAAGATCAATCTAAGAATGTCATGTACCAGTTCCGGCTCTCGGTTAATAACACACACTACACAATGTCAAGAGATAGGAGTGAGAGGATCCAAAGTGTAGATATTTCAGACCTATAGCATTGAATATTCTGTTGGGTCAGAATTGCAAACCATAGGATAGCGCATTAAAGCGCTTGTAATCATAATTGACTGCTGTCATATTTTAGTGGTTCTTCGACCAAACGCAGACCGTAAGCCCGCGTTCATAACTGCGCCAGGGTTTCAATCGTACGCAGCGGTGAGCATTACACGGATGGTTTTGAGCTTTTCGGGGTTAAGGGTGCTAGACCGATATTCACAATTTCCTTGTTTCTCCAACCGCTGCTGTACGCTGTGGACCATAGATCGATACCTATTAGGAT